GCCCAATTCCCCCAGGCCAGGCCAAGGGACCCCACCTGCCAGAGGGACCCCACTCACGCTGCAGACGCCCTTTGAGCTGAGCAGCCGGAGAGGGACAGCTGGATGTTGGCTCCAGGGCGTGTCCAGCCTGTCTTGCCCAGACCTGCCCTGCCAGCCATCTTCTAATTAATTTCCTTTCAATGTGCATGAGTCCATGCACCGGGCTACTAGTTTCCTAATAAGGATCCTGTGTCCATGAGAAAATACTGAAGAAATGTGAGGAGATCTTTGATTTAGGAATCTTTATTTTTTTTTCCAAAGCTTTGAACATGGAAGGGCACCCTCAGGGTCAGGATTGGAGCAGGTTGGCTGTTGGAAGCAGTGGGAAAGGATGTTTTCAGCCTGCCTTGAGCCAGAGCTGCAAGGATAACATCCAGGCCTGGTGAGGCTCCAGCCAGAATGTTTGCCATGAGATGCTGGGCAATCTCACCTGGTATTTAATCGCTGCATGAAAATTTCTCTTTTTCTGCTTTTTTTTTTTTGTGTGTGTGTTAATTTACAGCAAAGCCTTTTTAAAAATATTTATTTAAATTGATGTTTAGAGAGAGGGGATGGGAGAGGGAAAGAAAAACACTGAAGTGAGAAAGAAACATTGATCGTCTGCTTCCTGCCCACAACCTGGGCATGTACCCTGACCGGGAATCAAACCTATAACCTTTTGATACATGTGATGACACCCAACCAATGGAGCCACACTGGTCAGGGCTCTTCTTTTTTTAAGTTCTGAAAAAAGTGAAAAGATTTTTACCTGTGCCAAAATGGAATTTGGTTCTTGAACTTCCCAATTATGAGGGAGCTCATTTGTCTTGCCCCAGTTAGTATAGGCTGTAACTCACACGGTTCAAGAATTCATTGTATCAGCAACATTCTTTAATTGGTATTTTAGCAGGAACTTGATGTGGTCACCAAGTTTAGTTGTCCATCTATATCAACATCAGGAGAAAGGTTTTTAAAGTTGGAATTATATAAAAACAAGAAAAGAAAGTAATCACATAGACTATTCATTCATTTACTCTTTTATTCAGCAAACACTTGTTAACCACATGGTGAGTGTGTGCATGTGCATGTTTGTATTGAAAATAAACATAGAGTGAATCTTGTCTCATGGAGCATACAATCTAGAGATGCCAGGGCTGACCACAGACCCTGAGCAATGGATGAATAGATTACCCTGACACATGTTTCTGTGAAAGAGAAAGCTAAGGAACTGTTTGACTTTAGAAACCAAAACAGCCTCGATTGCCTGCCTAGGCTTTTATTGTAACAACAGCTTGAACTAAAATTAACCTCTAGATCAGCAGTTCTCAACCTGTGGGTCGCAACCCCTTTGGCGGTCAAATGACCCTTTCACCGGGGTCGCCTGAGACCATCCTGCATATCAGTTATTTACATTATGATTCATAACAGTAGCAACATCACAGTTATGAAGTAGCAATGAAAATAATTTTATGGTTGGGTCACAATATGAGGAACTGTATTTAAAGGGCCAGAAGGTTGAGAACCACTGCTCTAGATGCAAACAGCAGGGTAAGTATCCTTGAGAAAGCACCTGCTTCTACAAGGTCAGGTTTAAAGACAAAACCTAGAGATTTCAGCAAAACACCCAGGGGCAGGGACTTGTTTGGAAAAGTCAAGGCAGGGGCTGCCACCTTCGGCAAGTTCCCCCTAACAGGCCCCCAACCTTTCAGAGAATCCTTCTTACAGACTTTCCAACCAAGTCATGTGCTTCCCCAGAGAGAGAGATATTTGTAAGCACAAAAGAATAGGAAGGTGTCACCAGTATTGTGATGGAGGAATATTCCAGGAGTGAAGAGCCACAGAATGTGACGGTGGGGGAGAGCAGCATCATGGATTGACTGTAACATATGCCAGGCCCTGTGCTGAGGATTTGTCATGCTATATACCTCTTTTAATCAGCAGGATCATTTAAGTGGAAGCCTTGATAGGTTAAGTATCTCAAATAGGTAACGTAGTAAGTAGAACCTAGGTTTTACCTCAAATCCAAAGCCATAAACCTTATGCAATAAATAAGAGAATGCATCACTATCTTTCTAGGTATACTTTCCTGCTTTGTCCATCTCCACCACTGAATGTAATGAAGGAAGAAGGAAGCTGGAGAGCCTTTTTGTGTAAAGGATGTGCAGTGGGCATCTAGACTATGCCACTGTCATATAAAGGATATACAGTTCATTGTTGAACAATGTGGGTGTGGGGTGCTGGAACCCTGCACAGTCCAAAAATCTACCTATTAGTATAACTTTTGACTCCTCACCCATCCCTCAGTATTTGTGAGGGATTGATTCCAAATTCCTCGTATATCAAATCCACAGTTGCTCAAGTCCCTTATATAAAACTAGAGGCCTGGTGCACAAAATTCGTGCATGGGAGGGGTGTGTCCCTCAGCCTGGCCTGCACCCTCTCCAATCTGGGACCCCTTAGGGGATGTCCAACTGCCTGTTTAGGCCTGATCCATCTGCCCTCCCCTGCTGGCCTATTTTCCCCCAACTGCCCTCCCTGCCCGCCATCTTTGTAGCAGCCATCGTTGTGGTGGCCATCTTGTGATGATGTCGCGCGAGGGTGTGACACCACCTAGGCTTTTATTATATAGGGTGGTGTAGCATCAACCTATGAACCAGGAGGTCACTGTTTTATTCCAGGTCGGCGCACATGTCTAGGTTTACGGGCTCAATTCCCATAAGGGGCATTGTAGGAGGCAGCCGATCAATGATTCTCTCTCATCATTGATGTTCCATCTCTCTCTCTCCCCCTTCTTCTCCGAAATCAATAAAAATATATATTAAAAAATTCTTATAAAAATAAATAAAAAATAAAATCGTATGTAGAACAATGCATACAGTTGGCCTTCCACATCTGCAGACTCCCACCTGCAGATCAAAAGTACTGTTTCCCAACCAAAGTTTATTGAATCTGAAATATGGAAACCTTGGGGATATGGAAGGGCAACTATATTTTCTGAAAAAAAATATGTATACAAGTGGACCCATATGCAGTTCAAACTGTTTGTTCAAGCGTCCAAGGTACATAGGGATCTAGTCTAGACAGTGACTATGAGTCTGTAATTATGCATTTTCTCAGAGGATCCTTTATAGTCAGTATTTTGCCAACTGTATTTCTAAAGAGGCTTTCTTTTCCCTCTACTAAGCTTTGCAGAAACTGCCAGGCTCATTGTCACCCAGGAGGGCCTGTACCCCACAGCTCTCTGTCTCTTTTCTTGGTGCAGTGCATTGTAGCCAATAGCCTCTGGTTTCTGCCTCGCTGGTTCTCATCTGTGTTTGGGTGAGGAAAGATGTTTTATTTCAGGCCCATTGAAGAGAAGAGTAACTTCCTCATCAAGCCAGAAGTTTGTCAGTGAGCACTTTAATAGCTCTAAGTTTCCTTTTCACATCCAGCAAGGTGTAGGCTACTTTCTCTTATCTCCTGCTTTCTGCCTTGTAAGGATTACAAGTCTGTATTTCTGATCAAACTTGTTAGGATTGTAAGAAGAAGCTCAAAAGGGAAGCAAGATCCTGCCTTCTTCCTGAGGGAACCAGTGAGGACAAGGGGTGGCCTTTTTCAGGGTGAATTACCCTGGGGCTGAAGAAAAAACTTTGGGAAGTATGTACTGCTTTAGGGCTGTGTCTGTATGTCTTCATTCAGATGCAGCTCTTATTGATTTCAGAGAGGAAGGGAGAGGAAGAGATAGAAACATCAATGATGAGAAAGAATTATTGATTGGCTGCCTCCTGCACACCCCCTACTGGATATTAAGCCCTCAATCTGGGTGTGCTTACAACCAGAATTGAACCTGGGACCTTTCAGTCTGCAGGCCAACACTCTCTCCACTAAGCCAAACCAGAGAGGGCCTGATGCAGATCTTGATAGCAGTGTAAGTAGAAAGACCTCTATCCCTGAATTGTGGCCACACAAGGAAATCCCATGATTGAAAATTTGGAAGTAAACATGCTTTTCTTTAAAGACTGTATTTTCTTTTAGTCCATTGGATTTTAAGTACAAAATCTCTAAGAATAAGGCTAAGTACCTGCACTTCTGAAAAAAAAAAATGATAGGCCAAGAGTTCAAGTTTAGAGAGAATTTACATCAAGCAACATTTTATATATATATATATATCTCAGAATTATCTACACTAATAAAAGACAAACATGCAAATTGACCGTACCTTCGCTACACATTAAGCCATGCCCACCAGCCAATCAGAGTGACTGTATGCAAATTAACCCAACCAAGATGGCGGCC